AGGAGTACTATAGCCCTGAATGTTCCTTTAAAGAAACTCCAGTGAGCTACCTAAACATTTTTATTTTAACTGAAGCATTTAAATTGGAAAGTTAGTGATTAATCTTGCACAGTTTTTATGTGTGTGTGTGTGTGTGTGTGTGTGTGTTTGTTTGTGTTTGTGTGTGTTTGCTTGCCAAAGTCAAGTGTGTATTTTCTGTTGGTTAATACAGTTTAGCCTTATTATTTTCCCCTTTATGTCTCAGCTATAAGATATGAGAAGGAAATTTGGTAACATAGGTGCTCAGTTGTAATTTCTATACATTTCAAAATAGGCCATTCATTCCCGAGCAGTTTATAGCAAGCTTTGGGATTGGAAGAATAATGAGAAGGGGAAAAGTTAAATCTAAACTGTAATTTTTTTAATGTACATTGAAATCCTCTTAAAAGTGAATCTAAGGAATTGAGGAAATTTATTTACTTTAGGAGTTTTACTACACATACATTTTCATATCATCCAGTCTGTTGTAGGGCCTGTAGAAGCCCAACAGTAAGACTTCTTGAGCTATGCTTTTCTCTGCTGCAAGAAAATTGAATTGGGATCAAAAAGGATGGAATTAGATAAAATGTATAAGAAGGAGAAGAAAAGTCAGGCAAAAGAAGTAGAAGGTCAGATTTTTCTGTTTTAATGTTCTCTTATTTCTTTTTGGTGGAAACAGCAGTTGAAGGAGCTGAGTGGACTGGCTTTGGATTGCAGATGGTTTAGGAAGCAATAGTGATGTGTTGTTAATGGAGAGGTGGAGAGCAAAGAGACGGAGAAGAGTGCCTGTACTTGGCTGAGGGATTCAGAATCTGAGCTGCTAAATCAAATGTGATATGAGGATTTCAATATTAATGAGTTCATTGGATGTATATTCTGTTTATGCAGTTATGTTCTTCATAGTGGTGCTTGAGACTATTTTCCCTAATATGTTTCCTTTAAAGGATTTCACTGTATTAAAATTAGGAAGTGTGAATATCAATAGATAGCACTGATGCTTTCAACTTCTAATGAGTGTAAAAAAATTGTATAATAATATGAATTGTCTGTTCCCTTACATGAACCAAGTGTTTTTGTAAAAAGGAAAATGTCTTGTTCTTTCCAGACTGGAAACTGATAGCAGTGACCCTCTTCATAGTCTTGCCTTGTGTATGACATGTGTAGGCCATTAATTGTAATTAGATTAATTAGAATTTTCATTTTAGAGTGAGCTTTTTTAGCATTTTAAATGAGTCTGTGTTTGCCACCTAGATTATTTGGTGTTATTTAGTCATACTGGAATTTCCCCATAAAATTGTATTTGTTGTAGATGACCTTATTTATTGACTTACTGAGAAGACTTTGTTATGAGGTAGTCTTATCTATAAGATGATCCTATGGCATATGCCCCAGAGGTACCAATATAGTGAGGCTGCACTGTGTTTTTTAAATGAAGAACCATTACTGTTATTTTAACCTCCTTCCTAGAACTCCTTTTTCTAGATTTAAGATTCACCCATCTATCCAGTGATGCAGAGAACCTAAGCTTACCTGAAACATGAACTCATCTTCCTTTTGCATTGATGATAACTTCCATAGTGGTTAGTAATAACAGGTCTTTACTTTGAAGGCATAGAGGTTGATGGGCACAGAACACAAGTAAATTCTTCCTAATGAAAAGTATTCTGTATCAATAGATGTAGTGTTTTCATCTCTCCAAAAATATACTCAGAAGTAAACTGCAGGTAGAATGTCAAGCTTATTAGTTCAGTGTGCTGCTGGCATCCTGATGCTGAACTCAGCATTTTTTACTTGATGATTTTCCTGCTGATGACATCTTTGTATACTTACTGTACACTGTATTGTATAGTTAACACGGACACTGTAGAATTTTATTACACAACATTTTGAGGTAAATTTTGGGGATCAAGAAGATTATGGTGAGCTTAAGCGATAGTGCTTTGAGATGCCAACATGATTTTTAAAAATATTAAGTCAAAACAAAACAAAGACTTACAGCTTCTTACAATGTGTTTGAAATTGTAAGGCCTTTCCTGAATCTTGGCTTAGCATTACTACCAAAGATGATATTGGCTGGTCTTTCTCCCATCCTAACTTTAACATAGTTTAATCTTTTGAAGTCAGACCATATAATATCAAAAGATGCAATTTATTACAATTCATTTTTAGGATAAGATGTAGGGTAAGATTTTGATGATTTGAAATCAGTAAGGATCTTCTGATCGTTTTTCAGTGGAGCCGGATAAAGGGGTCTGTTATCACTTAACCCCTAGCCTCCTGGCCAAATTGTTAACTCAGGTAATTATTTTTCTGATTTTATGCCTACACTTCCTTTTCTCAGCTATTATCCCAGCACATTGATTGAGTTGAATTTTTTTTTCTTAATTTTCTTCACTTAACTATTCCATAGTATTAACATATAACTATCAAACTCCCACAAAAGTAGTGAATACATAAAATCCTTCCTAAACAACCTATTTTGGTCTCTTGGAATCCTTCAGTGAGAGGTGCTGTGAGCAGTAACTTTCAAAACTTTTGTGTGTATAGAGAGAGCAGAAGTCACTTTGACTCATTGAGTTACACTCTGACACCTTACATTACAAGAACAGTACTAACTAAAAAGGTTAGTGTCAACTATGTTTCAAGGGCACTAAAAAATATGAAATCTCTTGCAATAAGGAAACTTTATAGTTATAACTATTAATGTCTTCCTTGCCTTACAATCATCAAGACAGTATCACTCTTTTGAGGAGTTCCTTTTCTGCTATGACTTGACCTAAAAAGAAGACTGCCTTTATTTGAGTCATCCTCTTCCCCCAAGTTTCACCAAGGTAAAGATTTGCCTTCTTTTTTGGATTCATGCTGCTAAAAAGTCCTGAGATTACCCTTCTATTAAATGAACCTTTTAAGTATCCTGAAATCTTTGTTTAACGTGTTCTCTTTTACATTAATTATATTACTTTTACTGATGTTATAACTCTTGATCACATTCATTATAAATAATTCTAGAATTACTTGCTAGAATACATTGCAGCTATGTGCAAAGAAGGCCAAGAGAAAAAAAGATACATTTTTTATAGCATAATGTTCAGCATAATGAAATTATTTCATGAGGGATTCAATAGTGTGGCTGCTGAAAAAAGAGGATGCTATCCTGCCGTTAATTTGGCATTATTTGTCAAATATAACTGATGTTAGAATTATAATTTAAGTCTTATATAAGTTGGGCCCATTCCAAGTTTGTTCATTAGATAATGCCCTGCTGTATCAGTTGTTATTGCAGCATAACATGTCTTTAAATTGAATTTTAAAAAACAATATTTTGTGGAAATGAGTTTATCAGTATAGTTGCACTTGAGGGCTCATCACTAAGTTACCATGTGCTTTACCTGTAACTCTTACCTAGGGATGTACAGAACACCTGGGTATGGCATTATTTAGATTGAAGTGTACATGCACTTAGATAACTAATTTTAACTTAATGGATGTGGATACGCAAAGATTTAAGCAAGTGCCTTGTATTTACTGGAAAATATTAACAACCATTTTGGTTGTGAGTCTTCTAAATGGAGAAATAATTTTGGACTTTTCCCCTGGCAGAACTTTCAGAATGAGTTATGTAGTAACTGTCTTGAGGGTTCAATATTTCCTCAATTTGTTTATTTTTATAGAAAACTGGTTATATTTGTTTTTTTGTTGCCATAAATGTTGGAAAAGTAGAGTTGTCTGGCAGAATTCCATATCTCCCCCTCAGGTTTGATTTTATTTTTGTGATGATCAAGTCATTGAAGCCAGTCAATCTGACTCTGCTATAACTTCACCAATGCTCTCATTTCTTTTTTAAAGTTGCCATAGTATTGGCAGGCATAGATGGATGGCCTTTGATCTGTATTGTTGTATTCACGTGAAGGGTATCATAGATGTCTGGAATCGTCTTTAACATGCAGAATATGGTCCTTTTTCTTGAGGTGACCAATGTATCATTTTTATTTGGAGAATTGTGGATTTTTAAGCAAGGGTTAGTAATCTCAGCCTTCTCGATAAATACAAAATTATTCAGCCTCTATAAAAATGTAACTGTACCACACCTCTTGTGATACTTTTAGTTTAGATAAATTGTCTTAGTTATAGAGGAATATGGATATTTTAAACTTTGGGAGCATCATGAATTTAAATATGGCAATATTTATCTGAGTTTACTTTCTTGACCTAATGTCACAGGACAGTACCACATTTCTCGTCTTCCCATCCCCATAAGTTTTCTTTTCTTTATTACATAATAATTTAAGTAGAGATACATAGTGGCATGTAGGTGGCAAGTATTGTGGATATGTAAGCAACTTCACAATTTAAACTATTTCCAGTATAATAAGAGCAGTGGACTATAGTACAGTATCTGTAAACTAAGTGGCAACTTGGATCAAGTGGTCTTCAGAATGCAGAACAGTGACTATAACACCTTTTGGTCTCTTAAGACAGAGTTTTCCCTTTCTTTTCCTATGTAGCCTAAACTCTTCATTTTTCTTTGTACTGAAGGCAGCTTCACAGGATCCTAGGATCAGAGATTTAGAGCTGGAAGGGACCTTAGAAGTCATTGGTCCAACCCTCTCATTTTACAGATAAACGGGTAGAGAGGTTCATTGAGTTGTCCGTGGTCAATGGATGTAGCCAGTAAATGTCAGAGGCAGGATTTGAGCCCCAGGTTTTCCTGCCTCTGGGTCCAGTGCTCTGTTTGCTAATACTCTGCTGCCTTTTCTCAGCTTTATGGGAATCGATGTTTCACACTTATTTCATTTGCTTTATTTCAGAATTATACTTCATATCTGCTTTGTTTGTGGCAGCATAACAACTCGATCATTTATTATCCAATGACTGCCTAAAAAGAATACAGTTTCCCACAAAGTAGAGAAATTTTTATCATAATTCAGAGAAAACAAGTGGACTTTTTTTTACATTTTTTTCTGGT